AGAGAGAGAGAGAGAGAGAGAGAGAGAGAGAGAGAGAGAGAGAGAGAGAGAGAGAGAGAGAACAGGTAAGTCTCCAACCTCGCGGCTGGCTTCACGCCAACTTCCGTCTATAGGATGAGCAAAATCAAATGAATCTTAAAATCAAATGAATCTTTGGCTAGACGACGGCGCGCGAAAACAATCCCGCAGTGAAAATGGACCCCGTTCATAAAGTTGAGCCAACACCAACTGTACCAAGCGCCCCCGAATGAATGGATTCACGAGTTTCCCACTGTCCCTATCTACCATCCTGCGGAACCACGGCCAAAGGAATAAAAGAAAAACGTACGAAAGTGTGGGCCCGCCCGCCCCCCAAAAAAAAACGTATGGAAAGGGGCACTAAGTCTGTCCCATCCAACCCACGTGCGGACCTCATTTTCCCTGGGCCCAGGGGAATCGTCTTACGGGGCCCTATCCTTCCTTATATTATATTATATTATATTCAATTAATTAATATTAATCTTAATATTAATATTAATTATATTAATATTAATTATATTAATATTAATGTTAATATTAACTTACATGTATATATATATATATATATATATATCGTCAAATATATATATATATATATAGCTATATACATAGACAAGTGAACCCGCCGCGACCGATTGCCAGCCCCACCACAGGCACTGCCATTATCTGGCCCGACCGAGATTGAGGGTGTTTGTTTTAGAACAGGAGGGACGCGCAGCATTCGGGGGGGGGCGCATCGGCCAAGGCATCAGCATGTCGTTGGATCCTTTCTAAATCAGAACTATTTGGGCGGGGCGTCGGCCAAGGCATCAACATCCCGTCAGCCAAGGCATCAACAGCCTGCGCCTTTCCGGGAGGCGCACGGTATTGGCCCACCCCGCCCACGTCTGCCTGCTTGGCCGCTCCCCACACGGGCCATGGGCCCATTTCGTACTCTCCCAACACTGTGAACGGGGGCTCGCGTGGGACGCTCACGCGAGACCCTTTGTTTCCATTAAAGTATTAGAGGAGGAACCCACCGAAACAAAATACGACGCGCATCGTGACAAACCTTGCAATCGAACGAATCCAGTTGCAAGATATTCGTGGTGATCCACGGACCTCGGCCGACACCCATGCGGCTGCCCTCTCCACATCCGCTCCCGGTATGTAATAGTTCGTTAAAATGCAGCTGTGGCCGCTCCCTGCCCGCCGATCTGTTTCATCCGACTGCTGTTCACATTTTCGACCACTTAGTCCGGCGCGCAGCTAGCGATGATCCTCCCCCTGCGGCCTGGCTACACTACTTGCCATCCGCCAAGTTTGGTGAGTAGGTGCTTGGTTGCACTTACTCGCCTATCTTGGCGAACAAATATCAGACGGCTCGCCACACCGTCGACACAAGTCATGACGAGTGTCTTGGGTTTCCCCGCCTATCAACGGAGGTTTGTGGAGGGTGGTCCTTCGCACCTCTCCACAAAACAACTTCTTGGCCAGTGCACGGCTCCACGAGTGGAGATCAGGTAGACATTTTATTAATTTTTATGTAGAAGAAATATGGCGGCGAGTAAGTGCAACCAGGCCTCCAGTTCGACACGATTCTCATTTTTTTTACTTTCCACCCATCTGCTACGAATTGTTGCAGACGGCGAGTAGTGCAACTAGGCCCTAAGGGGTAGGAGGAGGAGGATAGAAAATGCCTGAAATGCCGTCCTGTCCACTTCACTTGGTTGGGATTAGGTGGGGGGGGGGAAGTGATTGTAATAACTTTCGTCAGATTCATTCTGGAAAGTGCTACAATCTACATCGATATTGACAGGGTGTTTTATTAAGGCGAAGACGGTAGCTTGAAAATGCCCTGAAATTCTCCTTTGTTTTTTTTCCCCCCTTCACTTGTGCCCTGCCGTATGGGCCTCTATCTTTTGCGTCCATGCATGTGGAAACATATGTACGGCATAAACCAGCAGGACATCTTGCACTCTATTTGCTCGTTTTCAATGGGGCCATCGGCTTCCTCCCCCATTGCACAATTGGACCTTCCCCGAAGCCCGAACGGGTGTACTGGCTCCCATCCAAGTTCATTCAAGTGGGAACATTGTGACTCTATTTTTTGGCACGGTCGATGGGGTGGCCCAACTACTAGTGGTTTTAACAGACAGTTCATATGAAGCTAATAAATTTGTCTTCAGGGGGAAAGCATAAAAAAAATATCGTTCTGGCCGTCCGAGAGGTGGTTACTCTCTCCCTCTCTCCCTTTCTCTCCCTCTCACTCGCTCTCTCCATTTCTCTCCCTCTCACTTTCCCTCTCCATTTCTTTCCCTCTCACTCCCTCTCTGTCTCTCTTGATGAAGATGGATGAACCGTTGAAAAGGTGGTTAGGCTCCCTTCCTTAGCACGAGGTTAAGACAACACAGAGTGTAACCACCTTTCCAACCTCTCTCTCTCTCTCTCTCTCTCTCTCTCTCTCTCTCTCTCTCTC